AGGATTAATATCTACACCGCCTCATTACTCACGTTGAAAGCGGAATTTTCCAGTGAACCATCTGTAAAACCGGAACGCCCGTTCACGGCTAGGTAAATAAACCCCCATTTCTTCTCATTAGCCAGAGGATCGAACAATACATAATGTAGTATACATAGGATAGATAGTTGGGTAGGTGGACACATCGGCAATGGCCTAAAGACGAAGAATAATACCGCGTTTGGGAGTTGATGAGCTTGGTATAGTAAATGGACCCCTTTCGCATGATTTCGTACGTCTTGAAGAGCAATAAATCCTACTCCTTCCTACTATAAGCAACTAAGATTAGCTAGTTAAGTGACTTCTGCATCATCGTACATGAGAACGCATAATCAGAGAACGGACGAATTTGATGACGAGGACGCCGTAACGAAAAAAAAAAAAAAAAAAAAAAAAAAAAAAAGGATTCCGCGAGCTGAACTCGGCCAGTCCAGTGGCCAGCCATATGCTCCAATATGATGTAGCACGGAAGTCCATGCAGCCATGCGAACAACGGCAGAGCGCACGTCTGGAAACAACTGTACAATACCAGCTGCGCCGTAGGCGCATAGGCGGGCAAAGGATCGTCATCCCTGATCAAGAAACCCTCCTAGTGTCTTCCCCAGGGTCTTGAACCCTAGCTCGGCCGAGCGACAGCTTTTCCCTCCTATCGCACACCACACCTAAAACTTCTGCTTTACACACCCTTTAGGTAATGAAGTGTGTCCCGGGTACGATAGAAGGAACGTGTGAGCAGGGACATGAGCCTACCTAGACCGAGTACCGAATTCGTCCAGAGAGGACCTCAGTAATTTTCCTTTCTCTTTTTCGTTAGCCTAGAAGGAGAAAGTCCAAAGCACGGACAGTCACGCCAGATACCTAATGTATATGCAATACGAACTATGTCTTAAGTCCCGCTAGAAACTTCGGGTAGCGTTGGCACTGACCGATATCTACCCGTTCTTCCAAGCACGAACCCGTACCGAGCCGAGTTGAGTTTAGCTTAGCTACCTTTCTTTCCATTGCTGGCATATAAGTTGTACAAATGTAGTAGTATGATCTGCTAGGTATCCGATAGATCTCTGGAGTTATTGTTACACATACAAGGTACACATATAGACCCGTAGCGTACATATTGCATAGTAGTGCCCGTAGAACAACGTGGGGGAGCCGGTAGGGTAGGGGGTTTCAAATGAGGATATGTTTGATTTGGCCGCCTAGGACGTAAACGGACCGTATCAAAGGAAAAGGAGTAACATGAGCGTTCTACCGGGATTTACCATCGTCTTGCTTGTTGGACTTGGGACTGTTCAGCTGTCCTCTCTCTTAAGTTAACCTGTATACCTACCTAGGTAGGTAGGTAGTAAGTCATGTGTGCGCCCAAAGACAAAGTTCGCAAAGTCTTTCCCCTACTCCGACGCAACAGGTCTGACCTTCAATCCAAACCACAACAAAGAGATGGTACTTGATCTATCTTAAGAATCCTTCGAACCCCAAATCTCCAGTTGTGCTCAGAATTAGGTACGGCTGCATGGCGCGCAGGTGGTTTTATCGTGGCCGCCGCGTCTGTTACGCACGTCAAGCGGGGCTATTACCACGTACTCTGGCGGTTAAAGGATGAGAATCCCCGACCCCTGGTAGTAGCTAGTTGCGGGTAGAAGGTGGGAGCTATGTATATAACATATTGCTCAGGGGTTACGATAGAAACACCTCAATACTGGTTAGCCTATCATCACGCATTCTTGCTTCACAGTATCGATATTGGTTAGTTATGTAAACTGCAAAAGTACAGACACCCCCAAACTGTCAGGTGGGCCCTCTAAGCTCAAGATAAATGCTGTGTTATTCATTATCTTGGTTATATTGCTATAATATCAAATATCAGGCCATCAGGCTACTAGTGTTTCTCATATAAACAGGTTTATTGGGGTCCATTAGGTTAACCTACTCGGTATGCAAAGTATTTGCCTCATGACTAGTCAAGATATCCGCAGTGGGAACTTTATGGCATTAGGATTCCCATTCATGTATGGGACTTTGAGACTTTTCCTGCAGCAACGGCTGGTACCGTAACTAGGAACCAATAACATGCACTAGTCTAGATCTCCTTGGCTGGATCGAATACAAATCTAAAGCCTGGACATTCCTCCATGCGCGTATAGAATGTATATATATAATGAAGAGTTTGATATGATGCGGCACAAGCCAAAGCCACGAGGTTAATAGCTGTAGGGCGTACACCTACCTATCATAGCAGTAGAGGTAGGCTTAATAGGGGGATGAACATGGATCCCGTGTGGTGATTATCCCTTCCCCAGACGTCAAAGCTATAGGCAGCCAACAACATGAGTGCGGCACGACATCCTAAAAAGGCGTCATACGTTAAACTTCCATGTAACATTGTAGGTCAATCTGTTGTTACTTTGGGGGCAACGGGTTCCACCCGAGAACGTCGCTGTGCCGTCTATCGACGTATTAAATTTTTCATACCGATTCTAGATAGCTCCCCGGCCGTCTCAAGTTTGCCCGATGCGTGTAATTACCTAGCACTGCACGACGTGGGTGAAGGCGAAGAGGCGGAGAATACCAGATGTGATTCCCAGGCTCTATCACTCTAGGGTACGCTCCTGTTCTATTGTCGGGGAAAGGGGCACAGGTCTCAGACTCGGCGGTAATTCTGGGGCTGCTAAAGAACTTGCAAATAACCTTCTGACGGCATCAGCCGAGGAGCTTCAGGGATTCTTCAGTATGTAGTGATATACATGGTTCCATCTATATTTTGCCTTGATATTAGTACCGAATAACGGGATGCGATACCCCCTTGTCGAATGGACTTGGCTGTTGGTAGTTAGTACCTAGGCACTTCAAGGCTAAGTACCTCGAATTTGGGCTAATCCAAAAAATACCGGCGAGCACGGAGCAGATCCTACTGTAACTACTGTTGACTGATCTTGGTTGTGAGAGGCGTAAGCTAATGTTAGAACACCTGGGGTAATCGAAATATATTGATCAACTTTAGTCCAACAAAAGTTCCAACACCCAACCCAATACGACTACATTGTGCATTCGATTGCAACGAGTTGGTGTAAGGCTTTGTAGCTAGGGGTCTACAGGAGAAACCAACACGAGAAGTACGATGATTTTAATAGCCTACTCACTTATTTCCATAGATACCTAGGCAACGTAACTTAGCATCAATACCTAATAGTAAAACAAAGCTTGGTATTCACAATAGCTAATCAGTACGTTTGTAGCGTTTATCTAGGTTAGATAATTATAACCGACTTACTAAGTACGTAACGTGTCTTATCGAACGAGGGCTCGTTTAATCTAGGCCATAGTCAGTTTATTGTAATCATATCACTATATTCTACTTGGGGTTGAAACCTAGATTGGTCTCGTTGATGACTTAATTCTATTCTAGACATAAAAACGTCTAATATTATTTCATACCTATGAACTTAATCTCTTTAGAAGGTGTAGAGGAACTCACCAAATAGTTGCCAACACGTAGATTAGAGAATATACTTTGGGGAACAGTCCGAAGCCTTTTGTTAATGTTCACGAACTAATTATAGATGAGATATCTGGAACAAAGGATACTGTAACTATGTATGTATAGCCACGAGCTTCTATAGTTACCTAGGTTTAGGGTTCCTTGCGGGAGAGCAAGTTGCTTCTATGTCTTTTTAACCTACCTCGTAATACCCAGACTGAATGTTTTCTAGGGATATTTATAGAGCTCTTAAGGGAATTGAGCTATTATGTTCTGAAGTACGAACGGCTACTTATTATTTCCTATCACGGAGTTAAAACTAAACGTATCATCTATTGATGGCTAGTTGGTATATTTAAAACCGGGGCGAGAAGGAAGGAATAGCCCTCGTCTACCTCCCCAGGGGTATACAGGGTACAGAGCTATCTCAAGACTAATATGCATTCGTATGATGTTTTCTGATATCCTGCAAATATAACCTTAAAAGGGATATATAGGTAATAATACTCCAGCCGTTCCTGTTGGCTCCTCCGGGTGAGCTCATGTTCGGTGCAATATTAGTACTCGGGGGCTATCTCCTGAGGCGTCATAGGTTTGCTTTAAGCCGTTCTGTACCACGCCTGCAAGGACATGAAGCTTGTTTCAGTTGTCATCTATTGATGGAGATTTTATAAGGAACTCAGAACATCAGATCTCTGTAGCAGGTTGTAAGGCTCTTTATATATAATAATATAAAAGGATCTGACTCCTGCAACAGTCGTGATATCCTCACTAATAACATAAAGATAGTTCGGATTATGTTTTTATAAACCCAAATCACACATATCCTTCAATATTGTTTTCATTGATAAATATAAGCAACTCTCTTAGAGCTATTCGATTTGGTGCTTTATCCCAGCTGCGGTCGTGATAATGGCTATTACCTCGTTGCTATATAGGTAATGACTAAGTGTAACACCTGCCATCACTTCGCTTGAATCCATAGATAATTGGAAAAAGATGATACGTGGACAAAATGTGGAAATTCCTGATATCCCCTGAGAGCATTAAATATCGCAAACTATTTATGATAAGATCCAAACTACCTGTAGAAGAGCAAATATTGGTGATTCCTCAGAGAGAACTCGAATATCTGAGGAAATTTTCGACACTATAATGAACTTAGATACTAGCAGCAAACAAGAAAACTGAAAAGGGGGAATAAAGGCTCCTAAATAATACGTGCGTGGAGTACATGGGCAGCCGCAGTCTCATTAAACTGAAATACCTTATTACAAAAGGGGCATTATGAGTAATTAAATATTTAACATGTTTACATTTAGTATTGGAAGGTAGTATGGAAAGGAGAAATGCATTTCTTTGTCTATAACGAACCTCATGGGGCCATGAAAGAACTAATTACAGCATGATATGCATCTTAAGATGCTTAAAGGAAAAGTGAAAAACCACGCAAACCATGTCCTGGGCAAATTATTCTATAGAATCCCGTAGATGAGAATCAAAGAGGCGTGTCGCGGCGGTTATGTTGGCCTATCGTTTTATTCCCTCCTGCTCCGTGGACTCCTTTCTGGACTGCAGCCACTACCAAATAAACTCCCATGAACAAAACTCAATCTTCTTAATTTTCCGCATTTTCTCAAGACTTTCCTGTCCCAAAAACACTCTGCCCCTCAGTAATGAACCCTTCGAGTGAAAGAGGAATATTATCGGGACGCAGAGCCCCATCCCTACTACGTCTTCTCTGTAACGTTTAGTCCTTGTGTGGGTAAAATGCGGCATCATCTTCCTCAGAAAAGCTTTTGGCTTGCTCGTCGAGGATTCTCTGGCGGGCGTGCCTGTCAAGCGTTGGCTTCGGCTCCTGGGGAGTCACGGCATGAGAAGGACTACTTATGTGAGGCTGCGCCATCTGTGGTTGCTTTCCTTGGTATGGGTTCTGGTAGTCTCGCGCCTGCATAGGAAGATAGTAGTTGTTGAAAGTGGGGCTGCTGACTACGTTCTGGCGCGGATCGGTGATCATCTGGCGACTGCTGGGGATGATGCCGGGAGGAGATGTAGTACCAATACCTTGACCTTTGGTTTGGGGACGAGTGGGCGTTTGAGAGTTGGAGTGGTTCTGGTGTCCTTGCGAAGGCGGGAGGACAACCCGAGATGTTTGAGGGCTGGTGGTGCTGTTTGGCATCGTCTCAGGGTGGTGAGAAGGGGACATGCGAGCGCCATAAGGCATCTGAGAGGCATAGTTCGGGTTTATATAAGCTGATAAGCCTGGACCCATGGGTGCTATAGGCGCCATAGGTGTCGGGGCCGGGAGACCAGGAGGCGGTGCTAAATGATACTTGTTAGCCTGTATTGATGGAACCGACCCTGAAATTATTAACCCACCGGTAGTTCTCTGTCCAAAGTGTGAAGCGGTGGACCCTTTCGGAGGGCCAGGAGGTTGGTTCGCCGATACGTATCCCGTATGTAGATTAGGAGGCTTCAAGCTTTGTGCCGGTCTAACTTGGTGGGGTGGATAGTTGCCGTGAACAGGTTTGGGATTATAGTAGGGAAGAGGTGGAAGGCTAATGGTCTCTGGAGGTGTAAGGGCTCGCTCTCCACCACTGGCACTGTTGCCGTTGGTGTTGTTGTTGTTGTAAGACATCTCGGCCTGTGGTGAATGGAAATATTATCAAGATGACCCAGACAGAAGAGATAAATCGGCAAGGTCGAGGAAACCTAACCATTTGAGATGACTTAGGGATAGGGAAAAGAGTCTTGATGAGGATCAGGAAAGTGTAAGAAAACCAGTGTTGTTAAGGAATCAGGTATTGTTTGCTGTAGAAAGTTTATATATTGGCCAGGTGGTAAGTACGATATTAGAAGGAGCGACTGCCGACTTGGAAAGAAGAAAATAAGAATCAATGATTCATGTATTAAGGATGAGGTAAAATATCACCCCATCGTTCTTACCTGAAATAAGAAACTGAAATGTGCCTCCAACTGGCGCATGTTACTATGTCCCTGTTACGGAAGCAACGAAGCAACATCTAGAGTCACGCTTGCTAATAGTCAACAAATAAACTTGGGGCAGGTACGAATGCACAAAAGTGCAACATTGATGGTCAAGATGGTACATGAATGATTAGTTACCTAGGTATCTATGTGTGTTTAAGCGCACTAACTTGGATACTAAATAATTAGATCTTACAATATAAAAAATAAAGTCCAGTTGAATTATATTTCTTTTGATATAGAAGTTGTCATCACAGAAATTTAACAGGGCAACGATATTGTTGAGACATGAACGTCCAGTTCAGCTTGCGTACTACCTAGGTACCTCCTAGCGGCCATAAATGTGCACAAAAGTAATGATTCCTTTATTGGGCATGTTTTCTCCCATTAAACTGGACGGCTAGGTTCCGAGGAAATGCTAAGTTACCTTAGGCAGATGTAATATGTATTAACACCGCGTGGCCATGTCCATCTGTCGACTACATGGGCGCATGTTATATCCTTGATACCCCTTCCCTCTATATCTTTTGCAGAAGGACTACCCCCTTTATATGTGTCCATTGCCTTGGTGTTCCGTACCAGCTCAGTCATCTTGCATTTCTTCGTAGAGAATCTCGGGGCCTTAGCCGCCATCGGGATGACACGCCTTCTTAGACCAGGCTGGCAATTGTACCAACAGCATGAAAGCTGTTCTATCCTCGGCCAGGTATTACAGGGGGCGGTGCAATCCTAGTGTCGAAGACCCTCCGGTCAACAGCCTTAAAATCAAATATCTTCTCAAGCTCTGCCTTAACAACTAAGAGCTCCCCATTTGCTTTCTTCACCTTTTCCGGCTGGCTGTCATCAATGACATTCAGTTTCACATTCAACACCCATTTCTGTGCCGGATCTACTGGCCGGAGATCGGCCCAGGGAGGGAGAGCAGCCAGTGGCCGCCCTTGAGATTCTGGAAGGTGATAGTATCTGCTGAAAACGAATTCGACATTCTCCCTGACGAAGGAGTAGCTCTCCTGAATAATTTCATTCTTGTACCTAACAATAATTCATTAGTACTGGTTTTATCACCTACTTAGCTAATGTAAAAGTAGGACATACTGGAAGCCGTTGTCAGTGAGAGCCGTCGGAAGACTATTCTGCTCTGGAATCTCAATCTTCTTTCTTTGCGTTACTGGTGTGTCTCGAAGAGGGTCTGGTAGATCTGTCCACCGCAAAGTGCCAGGTAAAGCATTGAACTCCATATTAGTTTCTTTGCCGAAATCCCTATCTGGTACAAGTTCGTAGGCCAGTTGAATAACATATGATGACCGATTTAATTGGCTACTTAGATCTTTCCAGAGCTGCAAGAAGCGTGATTGCTGGAAAGCGCGCGTGACTTTTAGGGGCTGCGGCTGTGGCTGGCCATGGAAGAATAGAATACGGTGGACGGTGTGACGGGCGTTCATCCACGTCAAACCTTGTAGGACTGCGCAAGCCATTGCGAAATCTGAATCCTTGACGGATGCAGTGAGGAAAAGTTCCCGCATATTGTCTATCGGTAGCAACCTCTTTTGCGGCTGAGGTTGAAAACTTGGAAGTAAGAAGCAACACCTGCAAGTTAATAGAGAAGTATTAATCAAAATAAGTGAAGTGGGATTTATAATGGATGCTTGTAGTATGGGCAAATAGGGTTTGAGAGCTGTTGATGTTCACGTTGAAAGTTGAAGCTTAGTTGATGTCAACCCCACAGACGCCTGTAACGGGCCGACACGACGGCTGGGCTAGGCAGTACAGTACTGAGCTCTACAGTACTTACCTGGTCTAGGTACATGTATGTGTCCCACTTATATCCGGCGTTGCACAAGCACCTATAATAGGAGTAAACCCAATTGATTTGATCTAGACTATCAAGTATCTCGTATGAAAGGATGAAATTTATAGTCACAAGTGTATAACCATGTACAGTTAGAGAGCCTTTTATTTATTGAACATTAATCATTTGAAATAAGCGTGATTCAGTGGACCAGCGGTATCCCATATCTATATCACCGCATCATCTTACACGTCGAACTCGTCCGCTCATTCTCAATTCACCACAACCCATGCGAAAACCGGAATCCCCTTGCTAAACCATGCATCATACCCCTTTTGTTTTACTGCTAGAAAACTAAATGCCCCGAGCCTCATGTATATGTTTTAAATTACACGACCCTTGACCTGCTTGAAGTCCTTGACTTTGATATCCCGCCAGAATGCGACAGAAACAAGGCCTAGCGCAGTAATGGCCGTAGCAGCGACGAACATCCACCTTAGGCCATCACCGTAGGCTAGAACAATTGCATCCCTAGTCGGCGAACCAACAGGGTATGAGAGTTGGATTGGAAGTTGGCCGTAGATATCCGTAAGATTTGCCTGAGACTCTGCAGGCAAGTACTTGGCCAGTGCGTTGGGGAAAACGCCTGTCCAGATGGCTGCAGAAACAGTGCCTCCAATAGCACCACCGACGCTACTGAACATACCCTCCATGGCGAGGACAACGGCGACGTGTTGGTGAGCTGCTGCTGCCATAACGGCCATTTGCTCGCAAATAACGCAGGCACCACCGGCGAAGGCGTATAAGATCTCGCACATGATAATCCAACCAAGGTAAGTACCAGGCTGTCGGAAGTGGATGAGTAGGCCAATGCTGAGAATTGTGACCGGTACACCGAAGTACAGGGCAATCCACTTGAAACGACCAGTCCAACGGATCAGAATACCTACTATGAAGGAAAAGAAGCAGGATCCAAGACTGTAGATATTGCCGACATAACCAGTTTGGGTTACATCCAGGTTGAGGACAACCTGGAGGAAGGAGCTGAAGTAGGCAGTCCAGATGTAATATTCAACAAACAGAACAGCGGCGAGAATGCAAGCTCCAAGGACGGTTCGATCTTTGAGGAGCTCCCAAGGCATAAACTTGACTGGTGCGAAGAATCTTTCCCAGACCACAGCTCCGATGAGAAGCAGTCCACCAAATATGATCAAGCAAATGACCAGGGGGTCCTTCCAGCCATAGTACTGATAAGAGTAGATATTGAAAGGAAGCAGGAAGAGCGCAAAGCCACCCGAAATAAGAACAAGGCAGATGACGTCAAACTGCCAGAAGTAATATTTGATCGATTCCCATGTTGTGCGGCCGCTCGGGGTGTAGATAACCAATCCTGCCTTCTTTGCCTTTTGGTAGTTCCAGGTAAACAAGAAGAATAGAGGAAGGCACATGATTGGAGTAATGATGGAGAAAATTCCGAATCCCCATCTCCAGCCAATACCATATAGGACGCTGTCGGCCATGGGAGCGGTAATCCATACGGTTATAATATAGGGAGACGAGACGAACGCCAACATTAGGGCTCGGTTCTTCAGGTGTGAAGTATCGGCGATGAAAACAGAGAGGGAGTAACTAACTCCATTGTATCTGAAAAGGGTTAATATATAGGTTACTGAAGGATTTTCGGGAAGCCAGTACTTACCCAACCCAATAGAACACCTGTGCAGCTGCATAAGTCTCGACGTTGTTGCATGCTGCCATCATGACAAGGCCAACGGTCATTAGAAGAACTACGACCAAGAAACCTTGAGGCCGACCCCAGATATCCAATATTTTCGCTAGAGTGAGCTTTGAAACGCCGCCAATGATATTAGACATAACGCCTGTTGTGGCAGTCAACGAATGGAGGGCAAACGAGCTAGTAACATAGGGGGTCAAAAGAGACCCCATGCCCTGTTGCATAGAGTCGACAAAGTAGATAATCCAGATGCTATAGACATCATTAGTTTACCTAACCTATAAGACATGGAAATAAAAGAGACGGTCTAGTAGTGACTTACAAGACATAAGCTAATATGAGATTAGACATGGTCCAGACCTTGGTTGTGGCCTCGATTTTCTGGACACCGGCTTGAGCATGGCTGTCGATGGCGTCGATATCGGTATCATTCTCACTATTCCGAGTTTGGTTATCGACGACGCCACCTTCCTTATCGTTCGCCTGGTGGGATTTCTCCTCCACCGGCACCTCAGTAGGGTGAGCGAACCGAGCGAGCGGTCCTCTCATCATTGTGGGTGAAGGATTCGAGTAATCCTAGTCGATCAAGTGGTGGTTCTGACTTGATACAAACACAGCGTAACAACTTCCGTGGACTAACTAGTATTGATAATAAGCCAGTCGTGTCGTAGCATAGGCAATGGCCAGCAATTTAAACAATTGCAATGCAACGTACACCAAGCGACAAGCTATTATCTGCTCTTATATGTACATAAGGATATATACAGAGAGAGAGAGAGAGATCCTCGGCCGAGAAGTGCAATAATGCTGGCTGGCTGGATGAATGAAAAGAAGAGATCTTGGGTGGTTAACCTATCCTTTTATTTATCTGATGGGCGTTTTGATCAGGTAGGCGCTCCTACCGTACCGGAGATTGATAAGTGGGAAGCACCCTAGCTAACCTTGATCTCTGGGTCTGGCCGTGCCACCATGAGGGCAACCACATGCGGGTAGTAACTAAAAGAGTGGGGTATGCTATCCCAAGTACCTGAGTGGAGGGTACCTAAGCTGCTATGCCATGCCTGAAAGTACCTAAGAGACATACATGGTATAGTCCATGATTTGAGATTCAAAAATAAACAACGATCAAGCATAAATCCCATGCCTAGGAGGGTATACTCTACCGGACGCTACTTCGAAGCTAGGAGCATGCCATGGCTAGAAAAGATCAAAGATACCTCTTAATCCCACTTTGTTCTGCTCTGTTTTGATCTATTATGTTTAAAAAGATGGAGGTCAATTACGTAAAATCATCCCACAAATCGTCCGTACTTACCTATGCTTAAGCTGAGAAGGGAAGCCTGAACAAAGCATAGTTTACGAGTTGATAAAAAAATTCAGCTCCGAAGAGGGAAGGTTCCTCGGGCATTCCAGGTGAACTTAGCGACCCACCAACATTCAAGGGACCTAGCTGGACCAACCTCGATTAGGTGCACTAGCCGATTTAAGTGGTACCAGTACAGGAAAGACGGGACGCTAACAGAAATTATCTTATCAATCAGTACCCATCAGCCGAGGATCAAAGCATGACCTACGTGAGCTAACAAACACTAAGCTTGACGCCGATGGAGGATCGTATTCTTGATCTTGTTGGCGCATTCCAATGGCTCGGCTAACATCACGTCGAGACCGTAGCTGGTGGAGACGTAGGAGCAGGATTTGACGTTGAAAGATCTTCAGCTTTGCGCGACTTTCATACGACCATAAGCCGGAGGCGGGATTCACTAGGGGTACTGGAGATCCCGCCTCTAGATCCCGCCTCTAGAAGCGAGACATGGCGACTACATAACTAGAACATGAGATCTATTTAGAAGGCGAATCAGCTCATGACATCAAGAAACCATAAGTAGAAGTTGGCAACAAGTTACCCGGTGATCACTGGTCATTATAGGTATAGGGCATCTGCTATAGACGATATCTATGGTGTAAACTCGCAGTAGAAAGTCCACTAGACTGTTTAACTGACGACAAGCTTCTTAAACTCGACTTGGCATCTAAATAGATTCATAAATCTCTCACAATCTAGGAATGAATCGTTCGATCTAGTCGAGATCCTTGAAAGACCTAGATGATGTATAGTAGCTCCCTAGTGTAAATTGTCCAAGTTCCCGACAGCTCGATACCGTTTGCTTGTGAGACCCAACAACGGCCAATTCTCTAAAAAGAGAAGAGAGGTGCCGATATCGCGGCCAGAATTCGGAGCAATCGATGTCGTGTAAGCAAGCCCTCGACGAGGTTCCCTCCCTGTCGTTGATGCGCGCTATCACGAAAATCCACCACGGGGAGGATTACGTGTACTACGTCGTATGCCAATCATATCGAATGTGCGAATAGCATGTCCAAGGGGCGGGTATGCGATGCACATGCATATATCTGATCCTCGTTATGTCTCCAATGATGTGGGCTGAAGTAAATTATCATCATGTTTGATCTATGCTGATTGCTCTTTTTGATCGTCGGATGGGCTTAGGTTGGAACCTTATTCGAGCAAGTCACTAAAAAAATAAAAAAATAAAATAAAAAGACGATTAGTATTGGGTATGTGACACGGCAGCACGGCAGCACGGCAGCACGGCAGGACGAATGGCAAGGACATGAAGCGGGCACCATAGAAGTATTAGAAGGTACCCACACGAGCCTCTTTCCTTGGCCTGTGCACTTAAAAAAATCATTACACGTGATCACTCTTTTTCTTGCTAGATCTAGCTTAGCATTTCTTTTTTCCTTACCAAAAGCTTCGTTTCGGCCCACGCGGTTTTCAATTGACGGCAAGTATCAACGACCGGATAGGAAATACCGGATCCGGTACCGTGTTCGATCTTCCAAGATGTCGGCATCACAAAAGCCAATCCGTCTTCCTCCGTTGAAAGTCCTCCGAGTTCGCAACCCGAATGGCCAAAGGGAGCGTCCGTGCATGGCTCTCATGTCATCCGTTTTAGGTATGCGCAAATACCTCTCTCATGGAAATATGGAAATATCATACTTGAGCTAATCCAATATGTTCCATAGCATGCTGGGCATCTGCAGGATATAACACCGTTGGATGTGCGCAGGTTGAACAGGCCTTGCGGAATTGCATGGATGGACCACAACCTTCGAAGCCCAAGAGCAGCGAGATCAATTACCATCTTTCGCGATTCAAGGATAGGCTTACCTACGCGCAAAAGAAAAAGAAATGATAGCTCTAAAAGGGGAGAATATGACAACTACCAGCCGTGGTCGAAAAAGCTACTACGTCTTATTAGATCTTGACACCCTAAACGAAGATATGGTACAAATACTTTCACCCTTCTGTACGATACGGTGGAAGATTATGGAATGAAACAACTCCTAGTGTTCAAAGCATAAGCCGGCGTTCTAGGTTGATTTGAACGGGGGCTCCAGTATGATGGTTATCAACCAATTGATACTAGAAACGTACAATTAGGTTAGAGATGCCATCCTGGAGGGAATAGGCATACGCAGTCTGATGTGAGCTGAACACAGGGTTGCACATAACATCCATCAGTAGGCCATATAGCTTTGGAGGCCACTAAATATTAAACCAAGCGTTAGGTACCTATATACAACCAAAAGAATACTGGCTAAACGAAAGCCATTGACATCTCCGGACTTTATGTACAATTCGTTTGACTACCTAGCTTACGAATATTGCCAACACTACTGGAAACCCGAACAAGTTTTTCCGCCCCCTGATCCGTAACCTCCATATACCCTTAGCCAGATTTTACAGTCTTCCTCCCTCACCCCGCTTCTCAAGACTTGCTTCAGCATAGGCAGGGCAGATGCAAGCTCTGATAGTTGCTGCAAGTCCTTCCCGCGGGCGTTTCGCTTCCCATCTGCAGGTATACTTGCCAGTAGTCGCCGGTCAGCTTGCAAACCAGGAAGTTGAGCTGGCGGCCGTAGTTACTGCCCTGGCTCGTGATGATCGTGTCTCCCTATTTAATGGCGATATGGTTAGAAATTGGCGTGTAACCATGCTTAATATACTTAGGAATTCGAAATGATACCTCCAGCCCCCAGGCGTCAGTAACAGTCGCCTCCGCGAAGGTTAACGTTTTGTACGAGGTCTGGTCGTTTCCGATGTTCAAGAACAGCGACGTGTTCATGCTCTGGATCCAGCCCCCGATGTTGAAGTATTCGCTGCTGGCCTCGGGGCCCATAACCGGTATCTCGGCTGTCCGAAGAATGGCGGTTAGTTTCGCATGCCGTGCTTGGAACTTGAGAGTAGAGGAAAGGGGGTCATAAGGAATAGAGACTGGGGGGTGAACATACGGTCCTCTGGGTACGCCTGTAGATAGTAATGGAAGATGGGCGACTGCACGGCGCGAATCTGCTCTGGCTTCGCCAACGCCGCCGGAATCGCCGCGGCAGCGATTAAAAGGAGACTGTGGGCAAGAGATGGGCGCATCTTGTCCTCTTGCCTGGGTAGAGACTGAAAATCTGATAAGGAGCAGCCGGTTATTAATAAATATTTACTAAGCTGAAGCGGCGGTAGAAGTATAATAAGTTGGTCCCATAAAATTATAAAACCAAAACTACGAGTCCTGGATGACGATAATGAGTGATCTTTAGAGCGGGTTTACAGGTGGATGATATATATATATATCTACAACGCCACCCGTTAATTTACACGGCTCAACTGTGCTCAAGGCAATGGAACGCTGCATAGCTATAAATAATTTTTTGAACAGGGTATAAGGAGAGCTGTATACTAATTTGGCTGAGAAGGGAAGAATAATACAGAGCCAATCGGACGAAATAGGTAAAATGCGGAAGACTATGTCCGTTGACACTCAACTTCCTACGATGAGCCAAGCAAATCTTTCGTAGGGCTAGTTCGAGACCAAGATAAATCACATGTTAGAACATTGAGTATACTGCTCAAACGAGTATTTTAGGTAGATCGAGAAAGCTCCGAATATGCATATAATATAGACACAGAACGGCTTGGAAATCTTAGCATCAATCCACCTATATATAAGTAGCTGGCTGTCAAACTCTTACTCCTTTAAACACTCTAAGCGGTACCCCGCTAATGCCACTCGCCATGCTTCAAGGCATCATGGCCATCAACTACGTCATGTCGGATCTGCATTACACCTTCAGTTTGAAGCCCTAGGTTTACTCCCGACAATGCTATAACAATCCTCTTGCTCTTTCATGTTTGCAAAGTGAGACGTGCGAAACAGCAGAACCGCCATCCATTCTTAACTAGCGCCGACCCGTGCAAGGTTATCAAAAATGGCCAAAGTCCGAAATACCTGATTATCCTTCTTATGGCTCCCTCTATGGGCTAGTAGCCATGCTACCCAACCCAGTAAAAGCCCTTGAATCTCGTTGAAAGCTCGTGCCGCTTCATACGGTAATGATAGTCGGATGTGTTGTAAAACATAAGATTCGGATCGAACCAAAAATGATTGCTCACTAAGCCGCAAAAGGGCTCTGTAAGAGAAGCGAATCCATAACGATTGACAGTTTTCTTGCAGCACTAAAGCGTGCGAACGAATGTGAGGCCCCTTTTCATCTGGCAAGGACCCAAAGCCAATCCATGTGTGACCAAAAAAGGTCTGGTATCTAAAATATGTGCAAGAATCGTAAAGTCATAAAATGAACGTTTGGCAGATTTGAAGGGTAAGAAGTAGTATCGAGATTGAATCGTCTGTTATGAGCGTGCTGGCACTACAGCAATATCAATGCAACCAGTGTCGGGATTACGCCTCGGCTGTCTGCGAATAAATTATCGCCGTATTAGTAGGGATTTCGTGTCGAAAGTCCCTTTCGAGTCCTATCGCCAAGCCTCCTGGGAAAGGCTCAACTCGTTTCTCCGACGCAGAAAAGCTCTATTTCTCCAACGCCGCCAGAATAATTGCGCGCACCTTCACCCCACTCCGAGAACGCGATTTGGATGTCGTCGTCACTTTCAATTGTTACAGAATCTCCATCTTCGTCACGATATCGCAGCTTCAGGGTGCCCTTAGCAATTGAACTGGTTGTGAATCGCGCAAGCTTAACATCGATGCGGTCGCTAAGAGATTGATACGCGATATTGAACGGAACAACAAGCGTGAAATAGTTCCCACTATCGCAGTTTACCTTGACTTTCAATTGTGCGGGGATCGACGAATCCGGACTCGAGAGCGGGTTGCCTTGCGTAGCAGTACCCAGCGGTGGTGACCCGGGCTGTCTATTATCTATATTCAGTGTCGGAGGTGCTGTCCCTCCAGTTGTTGTCCCCGAGGCTGGAGTTGCTTGTCGAGGATAGATAGGTTGCGTAGGGAATTGAGACAAGGTCCCTCCATCACGCTGTACACCTGGGCTCTGAGTGCTGGTACGGACAGGGATGTCCTGTCTGGGGGAACCGGTTTGAGATCGCGGGATGCTTGGGTCATGTGCAGGGTGAAGATGGGATGGAATTCCAGGCACGGCGGGGACCGGGGTGCTATTATTAGTCCTACGTCCGTTTGGCTGCGCATTGATGTCCGGAGTGCTATAAGACCGGCTACGTTGCTGCTGAAACGAAGCCGTTCTGGCAGAATTCCTTCCATTCATCGGTGATGGGCCATCTCTCGAGGGAGCTCTTGGCAAAGCTGGGGCAGTGTAACGATTGTTATCTTCCCAACCGCTTTGAGGCGTTCCGGTCCTTGGGAACGGGTACTGCTGTCCACTTGTGGGTGCAAACAAGGTACTTGCCGTGCTTGTCCGTGACGACGCAGGAGACTCTGCTGTGGGAGAAAAGTACGACTCCATAACACGAGCACTAGGCGACTGCGTACCACCTTGTGTTTGAAGACTCAACTGCCCTGGAGGTGCCGGGAGAGGGAAGCGCGGCGGCGGCCCTCGAACGATACCTGCTAACGAAAGATTACTCTCTCCAGTAGCAGAGCGTTGCCTAAGACTTGTACTTGAGGCATTGCGGTTCATAACGCCACCATTCGGAACGCCACCGAAGTTGTCGCTCGGGCTCGGTTGCGTAACTTGTACTGACAACGCTTCTTCCTCTTCCTCGTCTTCATCGTCGTCCTGCTGAGCGTAGGGATTCTCGAGACCGCCCTGATTTCGCATCCACGCAAAATCTGGTGTGGACTGTTCGGGGCTTATAGCTGTGGTCGGTGCGTGTTCTTTCTTCTGCGAAACCAGCCCCGTCTCCCACTTCTTCATCGTTTCCTCGTTAGAAAACTTAATGATAAAGTTTTCTACGCCGGGGTCGCCCTTCCACCATATCTGCACCGTATATGAACCTGGACAAGTTAGGTTAGGTTAAGTTCTACAGTTGAATTTTTGCGTTGCGTACCTGGTTTTGCGAACGAGAGGACTTCGGTCACATTTGTCATAAATATCCGCCCCTTAAGCTGCAGTTTATTATTTTTATTCGGAACCTTCGGCGCAGATTTATTCTTGTCTTTCTTATCCTTGGTTTTGTTTGGTTGCACCTCTTTGCAGCAGAGAAGGATACACTCGAACAGGTAGATCTCATACTGAACTGTCATCAGTGTCGTCTTATGGATTCGAGAAATCGTATCTGCAAGACTTACATCCTTTTCTTGCTCACTACGTCCAGTAATGACAGTATACACACCGTGCAACAACAAACGTCCGAAAGACTTGACGTTATGGCTCTTCCAGTCGTCCACTCTATTTGTGAGTTCTTCCAAAGCTTCATCTAGCAGGTCACGATTGACTGCCTCGTTTGCCTTCGTAAGAACTCGTTCTGCTGCCTTGATACCTGCAGCTAAGTCGGCCTTGGCTTCTTCATCTTCGCACTTTTTCAGGAGAGACTAAATAAGTTAGCATCGATAGATCCAAAATATGAAAGGGGGTCACCAACCCCTAGCAACAAAGGATATTTGACCAATCTCTGCATTGGCTTCAGGAGGAAACTGTCCAATGTGTTAAAATCAAACGACACAGGGTGCTCAGCCAATTGAATCTTATCAAAGACTTTGTTCGCTATTTGGCCTGCTTTCCGCTGATTTGCAATGAAGGGTTGATAAATATCGAAGGCATCTTCGTATACGACAAACGGCGCACCCCATCGTTGCACATCTTGCGATATCGTGTTTGTAGTTTCGATACGAATCAAGAATCGCCTCTGAAAATCCAATATCGAATTTATGTTCAAGAATATTTGGTGGATGATGTCACCGGTAATCACACCCTTCTGCTCCAAGGTTTTCTTAAGATCATGTAGATTCTCCAGATCTTGGACGTATTTGCGCTCGGTATCGACAAGTTCTTGGATGATATGGTCGCGATATGTCATTTGAGACCCGGGTACCGTCGGCCCACTCTCCTCTTGATACGTTTGAACCTGCAGAAGTAGACCTCGCTGGTCGGCAAGGTCCAGAACATGATTCAAAATTTGGGTAACCTAATCGAGCAAGTTAGCTTGCCTATTCATGATACATGTTTGATATGCGAGCCAGACTTCTGTGTAGACGAACGGACAACACGGACAAGTCATACCTTGACGAAACCAGTAGTATCATTTCCCATCAAATCACTGATCATAAAGGACTCGGAGGGGATCTCGGGACGTTTCATAATAGCCTGGAGGAATTTGAATACGGCTAATTTGGGTCGCTTGGTCTCGATGGCCGTAGGATCGATCTCCAGTGGGCTTTCTAGCTGCAAGCAGTTATATATAGTCAAGAGAGGTACTCCAGTTCGCAGCAGATTCCATAGGGATTCCACGGGGCCATCTTCGTTGTGGGTTGGTGGTAAAGCATCGAGGTGAACCTCGAAACCAGGGACGCGAGTTAGTCGCTGCTTCAGCGCGATACAGATCTGATATAGCGACCTGGAGGCATCGGCTCTCTGGTTGATAATATTGGTGGTGGGCACCACATTGCCGTTACTCGATGGAGGAACCATAGATGAAAGCGAAGAATTCGACGAGTTGATGGCTGTCGAGCCGGATAACTGGCTTGTGCGGAGGCTGCTCGTAGTAGACGCCGACATAGGTCCGTAATTGTTGTTGGCTGGGAAGACGGGGGCCGTGTTCGTCCGTAAAAGTGCCGGAGCATGTGCCATACTATTCAGCCCATACGACTCTCGCCGCAGCTAGACACGCTCTAGTTAGTAACCGCACCTAAACGTCCAGGCGGGACGAGTGGTATCGATTCGAGAGACTTGGTTGGTTGGAAATACTGAGAATTTCGGGTTTCAAGGGGGTCGAGATTGATGCGGTGGAGGGGCCTGACAGGTTGCGGTGAGATCGCCACGAGATAGATGCTGGTGATGTGGGACGGTTGTCCTTGGGTTTTATCTGAAGTGGATTCGTTCCACGTTAATTTATATAGTTAATCCTAAGAGGATGGTGAATTCAGATGAGTGTCCTGATTTACGCCTTCTCTTGTTATCTTCTCCCCTGAGATAGTCACCGTCGCGCGAAGTATCCCAAATGACTCTGCGCTTTCCTCTTCCCCAATACAATACGATATTAGACAAATTAACAGTTGGATATCTTGAAGACTTGGTATATCGGATATTGAAGTGAATCGCAAATGCGGTTTTATGGTGATAGGGAGATTTGAAACATTGACAGTCGGGACGACCGCACTCGGCGGTTACGGGGACGAGTGTTGAAGGAAGCGGGCGAGCTGGCACCTTTTTTCCCCTTATACTGATCCAAGTGTATGTCAGGTGGGCGGCTACAGTGCCTGTACCTACATAGGGCTATGTAAATGAAGTAGTTGACTGGTTGGTGGTCGTGAGTTGTGGGATTTATCGATTTGTCTATTTGTCGATTTGTCGTCGGTGTGGATTGCGGATTGCAAATGGATAGCGGGTTGGTGGATTGTGGACTGCGACGGACTATGAATTGGAATGGAGTTTGGTTGGGTTTAGGTCGGCTTGTAAAGTTACCTGTAAGTCGAGTGTCAGCAACAAGTTCAATGACCAAACTATCCTAAATTGGTTAGTTCTTGTTACAATGTAGCTAGCCCTTCTTGACATGTTAGGTAGTCTGACGTACTCTTCTAGCTTGCGGTCTTATTGCCGATAGGGTAGGTACTTAGCATTAGCAGTGCTGTAACTGATTCATGAATGTACCTTTCAACATGTACTACCAAATCATCGATTAATAAGATACATGCGCAATATCGCCTAATCCACTACCTACCAGGCACCTAGATAGCTACAACACCCTAAAAACAAAGGTAGCGCCAAATCTACTGCAAAATTAGGCCCATGCTCAACTTCTCTACAAACTCTCTTCCTGGAAATCATACACGTATATGACATAGTCTTAAGATTATGTTTACTTGCCGCTTGGAGTTAAACTAACAGTATAATATAAAACCCGATACCGAACTATCAAGACGTGTACGCTGCACGGGTGATTGGGAGGGAGAACAAATACGTAGTACCTAGTACATACCTCCTATAATTTGACGGATGGATGTTGTATTGCTAAAAGCTTCTATCTAATGGGGGTCGAGGTTTTGAAATACATGACACAGTGCTTTTCACACCTTCTTACAAAGTACCTTCCATCTTAAGTACCTACATGTATGTAACTACCTGTCCGTATTTAACTGTCTAGGTACCTTTACAAAATGCATTTAACAGCCATAGCTTAGGTACCATTCTTATGCGTCAGTCCTACACAGCTACTACAAAGCAAAAAGATTGGAAAGAATTATAAATAAACAACTAATAGCAATAAAATTAATTTAGATTTAACATATATATTGTATCTTTTTAATTAGCCTTCATGTACTAGATTCTAGATTTTACGGTTGTATGAAATAGGCGAAGTTTGGTGGGGGAATAGGGGACTGAGAGGTGACTAGGTTAGGTAGGTATGTACCTACATATTAAGATTGATAGGTACCCATCAAGATAATTGGCAGAGCATTGACAAAAAAAAAATATGGTGTTTTTTGCGTGGTGCACCCAATAGTTTCCTCTCCTGGATCTCATCTCAGTGATTCATACGATGACCCCTACGACAAAGCTTTTCGTTTCCGATGTTTCTTATGTTCATATACGTTTTATTACATCGGAAAGCTCTACTTAAGCTTTTAGCGAGAGCCAACAGGTTTTGTTGGTTTTATGGGATATCGGCGGTATTCAAAACTGCTGTCGTCTACAGGGGAAGCATACTGTGTATATAGGTTGAGGATAGTGCCACCTGTGGTGATAGTTATGACTTCCACATGATCAGGAGGGTCAGATTTTCCGGGATTAAAAGAGGGCTTAGTTTATTGTATAGACCAGAGCTGCGCCGTCCTAAGCGCTTTGTAACCTTATTCCATATTCTTCCCACGTCCCTTCCACTCCCCTACTATATGCGGTAATGTAAGAGAAAGGGGGTCATCTTTACAGGGGGACTACCCCATTACCACTCATCGATCGAAGAAGGGCGGAATTCTCGCATCTCTAGCCCTTCATGCAAGTCGGACTAAACAGGTAGTAAATAACCCAATATTGAAGCCAGCGTCCTTTGGGAACTCCATAGTTACCTAAACAATTCATTAAATGCTCTGATGTAACGCCCGTCACTGTGCTTCTTCAATAGCCTTCTGCTAACCTTTGAGGACCATAGTTACTTCATTGCCAGCTTTTCCTACCCTATTTATACAGCAGCTATGCTCTGACTCTGTTAGCGAAGCAATGCTACAAGACCAGGTGTACCGGTCGTGGATGTCCATCAAGTTCGTTGAAGGCCTTGAGCTAACGGGAATAGAGAATTCAGTTCCCATCTGCTTGCGTGCCTGCCGAAACCCAGCATCATTATGAAGATTGTCTTCGTTGTCGACGGCTGGCTGGTGAGCTTTTCCAGAGCAGATGTTGACCCCCTAATATTATTATTTTTCTTCTCGATTTTGTTGAATAACCTCAAGCTTAGCTGTATAAGATTCTCTCGCTTGGACTGGAATTCGCTTCTGTCGTAGCAAGTCTGTTTTCCGCAACGAGGGGGGGTAATGATCAGCTCTGACCCTTCAACTTCGGGCTAAAGTGATAAAACGTATTCACACCCGGGGTCATCTGTACGGTTTTCGTTAGTTGATGACCTCTGTTAGTTCACTGATAGGATGCTGAGATGTGTTGTCTATTTGTTATCAGTAACTACTAGCCGACGAATGTCCGTCCTAGTCAATAGAATTCTCTTTGTTAGTAATGAGACGACCTAAGGAGTCACATTCAATATGTATCCCGAATGAGATTTCCAACTGCTAAAGAAGACCTTTACCAATCTACAAGAGTTCTAGAGCTGTGGTATTGACACTTCTAATCACGCCCTTTTCAGATGTTGCTATTCATGGTAGGAGGGAATGATAATAAGGGGGTGGACTATTAAGTAGATCGTTCGGCACTATACGACATACCTGTTGGGATAACGGTTACGTGACCTTGTTACATAACTAGGGTTATGCCTATACATATTGCCCACGCATAGCCTACGCATTTATATAATAGATATCTTTCCCTATTCGGAAGAATCCCTCCTCTTTTACCTTAGTATAACCAATTAGAATACAATTATTATTTATATTCTTTTTTATATTATTATGTAATATATAATTAATTTAATATTGATTAATAGTTAATTAACCAATTAATTATAAAGTAGTAAAGAAAAGAAATAATATTATTTTTTTTATACGATAGTAAAAATTCTTAAAATTGTTAAAAAGGTAAAAGCGTTAAGTTTTATTTTTTTACAGGTAATAGCGGAAAATATTGCGTTATTTTAAAGGTTTTAAGTATTTTTAATAGAATGAAATTTGTATTTATTATGTATTTAAAAATAATATAATAAAAGTTATAACAATTATAGATAATATAGTTTAGTAATAGTTAAAATATATTATAAATAGTAAAAGAGGTGTTGAATTTAACTTTTTTAAATTTGTTGAAGTTATAAAAAATAATGTTAATATGTATTGTACGGAAAGTTTTATGGTGTATTGGTATAACGTATGTAACAAAGAATTATGGAAGATTTTTTAAAAAGATTTTCGGGGATGGAAGAAGGTATATTTCGATTAAATATATTGTAATTTACGATTATTGATGTTAGAATATTTGGTATATTATGGAATATATTTTAAAAAGAATAATTTTTTTAAAAAATTATTAGAAGTAGTTAATATTAATAAATTCCTGGTATATTTACTTAATAAAAGCAAAAAAATGACTTATTACTATTTTAAAATATTTATTTTAAAAGTTAATTTATTTGTTGCGGGGGAAAAAAATAGAAAAATTTGAAAATTAAATACGGTAATATAAACATTATAATTATTAATATAATAATTAATATTTAATTAAAAATATATAAGGTTATTAGAATTAATTTATTATAAAATATTTATTTTATTACTTATAATAAGATAACCAATGATATTAGTAACGTAATAAGGATTTTAAGCGTAATAAATAATAATTACGTAAAATATTTAAGCGAAAACGTTATTAGCGGTATGGAGATTAATATTATAATTAATATTATAAATGGTATTTTTTATAAAGTTTAATAGTAATAATAATATTTACGATATAATATTTTGGTTTATTATAAAAAAATACCGCTAATAATACAGGTAGGAAATAATTTAATAATTTTTAATATATTATTTTATATTTTTTTTTTAAATTTATATTTATAAAATTTTTACTTAAAATTACTGCTTTAAATCTTTATCCTATAAAACGGATATTAAAAAATGTTTTTTCCAAATCTATATTTAAAACTGATTTTTTTAAGTAATTATGCGCTGCTTAATAATTATTTACTGTTTAATTCCTAAAATAATAATTCGATGTTGGGTTTTCCAAATAGTTATTAAGCATTTCTGGAATAATAAATAATATTACCGTAAGCTTTTATTATGAACAAGACTTAAACGTCTTAGCCTTGGATCAAGCCTTATTAAACCTGATATCAAGGACTTTTAAATGATGAAACTAATGATGAAAAGGAATAATTTATATTAAAAATAGATAATACTATGTAAAATAAATATATGCGATTATAAATAATACTTATATTAAAAATATGATCATATGATTAAGATTAAAGTTACTTAATACACCAACACCAGTTCATAATTTTCCTTCGAATTTTATTAAAGCCACAAGATTAAATTCGACCCACAAAACAAGGGCTGGGACTTGAAAAAAAAAAAAGGAAATAAAACAATACGAGTGGGGATTAAATTTTAAGCCTTAAAAAAAAAAATTTGTATTGCTTAAGCTATTAGGGCTATTAAAACTTTTAATCATTAGTCTTGTGGTATAACCTTTCCAATATTTTGGGTATTATTAAGTTTTAAATCGTATCCTAAATGAATTTATATGCCGTGTAATTCAACCAATTTGATTAAGATCGATTAGGTATCCGATATCATTAAATCATATCCCTTGGCTATATAGAATTATATAATAACAGGTCTAATTGTGATACTTACTATCAAATTAAATATGTATAAAGATTGTGGTATAAGGATTGTATAAAAGGATTGTTGTACAGTTTTACCTTCTTTGTAATAGATTTAACTAATCTTATTCCCTTTTTCATCCCGGTATCGTATAACTTTTATAATTAAGTTATTTGTTTTCCTTAATATTTTGATATTAACTTAAATAAGCTTTGATATTAACTAAGTTTTTACTTCCCTTATAATAAACCTGATAACTTATCGATTAATTGGTTAGTTAAACCTTTGTTTTCTTTATTACTAACTTCTTATAATTAATCGTTTTATATACTAGGTATAATATAACCGAAAAAACATCATATACTATCCTTGAATAATTTAAAATATAACTTTAAACGTGGTAATTACCAATACTCTCGCCAATCTTATCCCCGTAATCTTTTTACATATTTAATAAAGCTACCTTTTATTTCCTAGTATTTGATTAACTAAAATACGTTATAGCCTTTACATATCTTAAAATTAATAATTAAATCTTAATATAATAATACTTCCTAAATTATATTATATCTTATATATCTTAATTTAAAATATAAAAATATTAATATTTTAAGGATTATATTAACTTAATTAATAAGTAATATAATTACTAAAATTATTAATAAAGTTGTAAATAAGGCTTTTAATAAAATTTTTAATAAGGTTGTATTGTATTGTATATATTAACTAATATATTAAGACATAACTAAATTAATTAATAAACAAATATTTTTAAATAAGTTAATATGATTGATATAAGGCTTAAATTGTTTAATTAAGTTATTTAATTTATATTTAAATTATCAATTAAAGGTATTGATAAAATTATTATAAATTTGGTTATTAATTAATATATTATAAGCTTTATAAATTATGGGATTGTAAACCTTATTAATTGTAGGAAATTATTCGATTAAGTTACGATAAGGCATTTTTAACGATAACAATCTTTTTAAAACTGGTATTACGGGTTTAAATTATTAAAAATTGTTATTAAATAAGATTTAAACGTTTTAACCTTGGATTAAACCCTATTAAACCTAATATCAAAGACTTTTAAATGATGAAATTGATAATGAAAAGGAATAACTTATATTAAAAATAAATAATACTATGTAAAATGGATATATGCGATTATAAATGGTACTTATACTAAGAATATAATCACATGATCAAGATTAAGGTCATCTGATACACTAGCACCAGTTCAATCGATTTAATTAAGATGTATAATAACGGGAAGTATAAATTTAATAAAAAGAAATACAATATCTTTAACGAAAAGATTAAAGTTTTTAAAAATTTTTGTTAAAAAATTAAAATTATATAATATTAATATTACGAAGTTTATTTAATAATATTAAAAAGTTATATTTAAAAATATTATTATAATTATTTTATAAAAAAAGATTTAGATTTTTAAGAAATGGTAATTTGGATTAAAAATTTTTTTTATATAGTTAAAAATTAATAGATATATATAAATAAGTAAAAAATAATAATAATTTATATTGTTATAATTAATTATTTAAAAAATAATTTATTTATAAATTTGGAAAGATTAATTATAATGGTCGTATAACATTGACATAAAGGCACCTTATTAATAATAAGATGCCTTTATCGTAAATAAAGGAAGAAAAGATAAAATACCCAATTTTACTGGATAAAAAGGTTAAATATCCATTATTATTAAAATATAAGAATATATTATACCTAATTAACCTTAAATAAATTCTTCCCTCCTTAAACATCTTAATATACCAATCTTAATACCATTAATTTATTTATTATTACTTTATTATTATTATTATTATTTTTATTTATATACGTACTTACCAACATTAATTAATATTATTAAACAATAATAATACAAATTAATAAAATTAAAAAAATTACTATTATTTTAATTTAAAGATTTTTATTGTAATAACATAAATAATATTAATACCTTTCTTTATATTACTTCCATAATTTATAATAAGCTATAATTTTACCTTTTTATACAATCTATTTATATTTTTAATAAACTATTACAATTTAAACCCTTTATCTACAAAATTATCATTATTTATATCATTAATTTTTCCTATCATATCTTAAAAAACATAAGTAAAAAGCTTAATATAAATACAAACTTATACCATATATAATCCTATTAAATAAAAAAATATAAACAAATTATATAAGCTTTTAAGCTATCTCCCTAATCAAATATTCATACTTAACATAATATTTAATTACATAATAATATAATAGGAAAAAATCAATTTTTAAATAGTTACGCCCAAATAAAAAACAATATAAATATTCCTTATATTAATAAATTTTAAAACTATTAATAATAAGATATTATATATACGCTTAACTAAAAAAGTAATAGTTAAATATTAAGAATAATTTAAAAAATTTATAATAAATAATTTTAAAATATTACCGAAATAATTATAATTAACATTATAAAACGTATTAATATAAAGAAGTATTTATATAAAAAAATATAATATTAATTATATAAAGATATTTATTAATTTTATATTATTATATAATTTATTTATATAAAATATTATTAAATTAAAAATAATAAAGGTAAAATAATTTAACGCATTAACATAAAAAGTTTTGATTTATAAGACTAAAAAAGGATTAATATACCCCGTTACATACGCGTTTATATAATTATAAACGTTAACACAATAATATTAAACAATCTTTAACCTATAAACATTAATATATATAATTACACTTATAAAATAAGTTTTAATATAAAATATCACGCCTTAAACCTTACCCCTTTCTAACTTACA